TGGAGATCTCCTAGGTGTATGCGTGACGACGCATTAGATGATTGATATGCATTGATATCTGTCATGAGATGCATTTATTGCATGATTATTAATATGATGAAGTGTGGTGTTTGACTTCATGATTGGTGGATTGTATTTTATGCATGAGTAGTATTGGATAGAGTGTATGGTGTGACTCTATGAATACGATTGTGTAGTATAGATTATTATGATTCATTTGTGAATTCTAGCTTACCCTTCTGTTTCCATGTGGTGGAACTGCGATGATCATACTTGGTATGGGAGCAGATCAGGGCTAGCTTGGAGTCGAGGTGACCGCTGCGAGACGGGGAGTTTGATCCTCGTGTTAGGGTTACCATTTTGGGTAGCGATTTTTGTCTGTTTGACCGGCACTAGGAAATATTATTTTTGGGATGACTGTACATGTATGGCATTTTATTTTGTATTTAAAGAATTTGGTTATTTTTATTCTTATCTATACATGTATGTATGAGTTATCCAATTTAATATTTTCCTTAGTTCACTAATAGTAGTGCGATTCCACTAAGTGTAGAGACCATGGCGGGTCGTTACACTAATAATAACATAAATGATAAAAGATGATAATGATAGCAATTATGAAAATAGTAATAATGATAATCTCATATAAGAATTTTACTTACTTTCTTATATTATCTTTTCAATTTTCTTCTCTTTTTTCTCATCCATGTCTTTCCTTTTTGTCAAACACGTCGGTATAATTTTTTAATCAATTTTAACTAAAAAAATTTATTGGCGTGCAATGATTATACCAAAATTAAAATATATGACATCATGTATATTATCTCTATCCATCACTGTTAAACCAACTTTAAATGATTCAATTTCAACCGACAATAGAAAAATATTACAACAAACGAATATATTAATCTAATAAAGTATGGTTATGAATTATCAATATACAAGAAGATAACATGCTACAAGACACTAATATACTCTTTCCATTTGGCATCTCCTTGTTGCGCGGGTCTTGCTTCCATTGCTTATTAGTTGTGGCGTAACGTTTGGGGATGATGAAATGGCTTTGGTTTGACTTTTAGCTATATCATTTGACTGGTCAAAGAGCAATTATTTAATTTAGTATTAATTAGAGCCAAACGGCTTTGTTAATCAATTACTTCTGATGGGAAAGCCGGAAAGGCAACCTTTCAAGGGCAATGTAAAGCTCGCTTTCTAAGAAACTAATGCAACAAATCTATGTCTCATTTCAAAGAGAGATAAGGTAATTACAAGATATATAAATAGAGATAATTTTTATTTTATAAATTCTTTTTTTAAGTTGGAGTTAAACTCAAATTCATCATCTAAAATAATTAGAACTATCTAGATTTATTCTAAAAGGTATTGAGAAATTATGCTAAATTTCTTATAATCAAATTTGTCAAAAATAAAATAATGCAATATAGTGATGTAAAAATTGATTACAAATCTCTCTCTCTCTCTCTCTCTCTCTCCCTCTCTCTCCCTCTCTCTCTCTCTCTAGAATTTT